AATCGACAAATCGGTTTGCACTGTTTCGAGGTTGATGTTATTTTAATTGTTGTTTTTCTCTTGTTGAGAGCTTGAGTTTGAAGTTTTGCAAGGGTAAAAGGTTGGTGGTTTCCTTGATGAAGTGAAAGTGAAGTTTGTTAGTTGAGTTCCGAAAAAGGTGAATCCGCGTCCATGTACTTACGAATGAATCACTTGTCGATTGAGGTTATGAAATGTGTAGGACTTTGTTTTCTTTAAGCTCTACTTTGGAAAGAATAAGAGATTTTATCTCTTTTGAATTGAACATGTATATGGGGTTTATCTCATGTTTCTTGTTCTTTGATCATTTTTGTTTTTTCGTATACTATGCGTATGTTTCGTTGAGCTAACATGTTCTTTACCGTTTTGTAAATAATAGTTTTGCTGTGAGTGAAAACCGAGTGGACAGATCGAAGCTTTTATGCATAGCTTCGTTTGTAGTCTGAGCACCTATTAAACCATGCTCTTTGGTGAACGTGCAAAAGATGCTGATTTATTCTTCAATTGACTTACCACTTGCAAATGAACAAAATGGATTTGTAAGAATGCATCTAAATGGTTCTCATTTGATGGTTTCAGGTCCCGAAGACAACGTGGCTGAATACTATCAGCAGCAGGTAGAAATGCTCGAGGGTTTCAATGAAATGGATGCCTTAACGGAGCGTGGTTTTATTCCTGGAATGACCGAGGTTCGAGTCGTTCTCGATAGACGAAGAGAGTATTGTTTCTAAAGAAGTATTTGACTGAACATTCTTGCTGTGATTGGCAGGAAGAGAGGGAAGATTTGGCTAGAAGTGAGACACTGGCCATTAGAATTTCCAATATTGCAAACATGGTTCTTTTTGCTGCTAAAGTTTATGCTTCTGTGAGAAGTGGATCATTGGCTATAATTGCATCCACATTGGACTCTCTTCTCGATCTTCTGTCTGGATTTATCCTCTGGTTTACGGAGTTCTCCATGTCGACGCCAAACCCGTATCAGTATCCTATTGGAAAGAAACGAATGCAGCCACTGGTCAGTATTCTCGCTATACCTTTTTATTGTAAACAAATTCCTTGATTGGTGTTACGGCATGATCAATGACAACTCTTCGTTTTCTTTTAGTACGCATGTCCAACAATTATCCCCGATGCATATCCGAACGTATGCGGATATGACCCTCCAAGTGGTGTGGTTTAGGGAGAAAAGAACAGTACATATATTGAAACCTTGAAAAATTTTGGACAGCCTGATGAGAACACGTACTCGTGCAAGACACTCACACTCGAGTCCGAGTAACATAGGCACTTCCTAGCTAAGTGTATCTGATTTCTGTATTTTCATTGGTCATTCTTATCATTTTGCTAACTGATTTTTTCATTAATAAGGAATGCGCTCCACGAAATTCGCAAACATTGTCGGACAAATTATCAAACGGAATGTCCCAAGGATAGCTTTAAATCTTTTGAGTTCTTTGTTCTATTAATAACAGTCTAACATATGATATGTATCCATTTGATTACCTATCTTACATCACCATGTATACAATGTGCTTACGAACAAATGTTTGGTAAATATAGAACCGAAATGGTGTTTAGGGGTAAAACAAAAGTGAATAAAAATAATTAAGGCCGAAACACGAGTTGGGAAGTTGGAACTTTAGAGGTCATAGTATGACCATAGTGGCTGATTTGTAACATATTTCAAGCAGGTTTTGTACGTTAGGCTTAGGATGCAGATTATTTTTTGAAGGCGTCCAAGGATATCATATTCGAATCATTTATAGATCTTAGTTGTTCATGTTACCTCTTTTATAAACGATAAAACATGTTGCTAGGGTGGCATAAACGAAAAGGTTCATGTTAGATGAGAAAGTGAAAATATTTATGCGTCTTCTGGGTGTGCGTAGCCATGGAAGTATACTAGTATTGGTTTTCTCTATTTGATGAAATAATTTTTCAAAGTTTTATAAAGATGAGTTGCTGTTATGAACTGTTGAAATCCGATAACACACGAAACTGGTGAATTTTCTGCAGGGTATCCTTGTTTTTGCTTCTGTCATGGCAACTCTAGGACTGCAGGTTTTCTTGGAGTCCATACGAACCATGGTTTCAACTGTGAGTCGACTTTGATTTTGCATTAAAGTTCCCTTCTCCGTTCGTAGATCTTTTACTATTTTGAGGATGGCCGCTTTGTCGTTTGAATGACAATGTCGGCGTTCTTTGTTTCGCCCAGGAAGATGAATTCAACCTGACAAATGAACAAGAGAGGTGGGTTGTTGGGATTATGCTTGGAGTGACCCTGGTAAAGCTTATCCTCGTTTTATTGCCGCACCTTTAACAACGAAATCGTCAAAGCTTATGCCCAGGATCATTTCTTTGATGTTATCACGAACATCATTGGCCTCGTTGCCGTGCTACTTGCTAATTACATCGATGATTGGATGGACCCCGTCGGAGCTATCATCGTAAGTAAAATCTTCTCTCCGATCTAGTGCCTCTGTTTTTATAAACGTTACCGTGTATCTGTGACTCGTTGAGACAAACTTGAATCGATGCAGCTGGCTCTGTACACTATCCGAACATGGTCGATGACGGTGTTAGAGAACGTGAACTCATTCGTTGGAAGATCAGCAGCTCCGGAATATCTTCAGAAACTAACTTATCTATGTTGGAACCACCACAAGGCCATAAGACATATCGATACCGTCCGAGCCTACACGTTCGGATCTCACTACTTTGTGGAGGTCGACATTGTTCTGCTGGCAAACATGGAATTGCAAGAAGCTCATGACATCGGAGAGTCGCTGCAGGAGAAACTGGAGTTGCTGCTTGAGATTGAGAGAGCCGTTGTTCACCTGGATTATGAATTCAGTCACAAACCTGAACATGCACAGGCACATACTTTGTAGACACACACAACCTAGGAGGATGTCCTGATGTCGTGTCTCTTCTTTTTCTTTCCCCTACCAACAAATAATATAAGTTGTGTATGCTTGGAGAATTGAGCCATAAAACTTTTAACTCTATGGTAAATCTTAGCAAATGTAGAATGTTTACTATTAGTAGGTCATGACAATGGTTCGAGTCAGTTGAATTTTTGGGTATTTGAATTCGATCTGAAAATTAAAATTCTCTATCTGCTTTGATTTGGATTTAAAAGAGTATATACTTAATTTAATATTTTAAATTAAAATATGCATTCGATTTTAATCTGATCTAAATATATATAAAATTTATTTTTATTAAATTAAAGAAAAAACAATAAAAAGTAAAACAAAAAGAAGTATTATTGAATTATTTTTAAATATATAAACGATAATTATAATATATTAAAATATATTATTTTGGAAAACAATATGATCTCAAATATTAAAATATATAATAAGTATTTCATAAATAAATCGCCTCGTCTTCGTATAAAATTATTACAGAATCGAATTTGGAATTTTCTTTTTCTCGAATTCCAAACAAGGAAAGACCTAAGAAATCTTTGAATTTTGGGGGGCCATATGATTTATTGTTGTTATTATTGTTTTTGCTTTGAATCTTGCCTGCATTCATGTCCATGTTCATTTCCTTGTATAGTCCTCTGATCTTAGGTTAAGTTCGTATCCAAAAAATAGACTAATTTATGGACAATAATGACCCATTTGAAGTTTCTTGTTGCCTATATTATTGTTTGATGTCAGCTTTGAATTCCCAGTTTTGATGTAAGATTCTTTCATTTTTATTGGCTTTATTAATAAAATGTCCTTTATATTACATATGATTTTCAGATTGGACCCTAAGTTTTTTTTATATAAGAAATGATATGTTAACCATCATTTTATCTATTTACTCAAAAAATAATTTCGTTTTAAACAAAAGGAACGTATGATCATTTCAGCAAATAAAAGTGTGACATGAAAAATAACGTCTTTTATGACACGTTCTTAATGGTTGAAATATCAATCTTGTTAGTGTTAAATGATACTTTGGTCTTTGAAATTATACTTTGATATCTTAATTTTTTTATTCAATTTGGCTCTCAAACTTTTTAACTCTGATAACATGTTATCTCGACCTCTTTATATATTACAAAAGAATTTGTGTATCACTATAAAAATATGTGATGGCTCACGTAACATGGTGCAAGTTAAATCTAAAAATATTATAGTAAAAATCTTTTAAAATCCAAAGGATATTTTGAATATATATATCATATTTTCATATTTTTGAAGATTTTAATATGTGACCTACATTATATGTCACGTGGTACATTCTTAGAGTTCCACAATGATATTTTGTAACGAAAACGAATTGGACTAACATGCGTTGTAGTTAAATAATTCAGGGGTCAAATTGAAAAAAAATCTTCGAGTACTAAAATGATAATGAAATATAACTATCCATGAGATGTGATGTGATAATGATAATGAAATATTTTAGTATCATATTAACTATGAGATGTGATGCGGTAGTTGTTTATCTCATCACTTAATCACGAGATCGAAGATTTAATCCCCACCTATGAGAATAAAATATATTTTATGATCAATTGTTTATCTATTTATGAGAACATTCATGACAATATTAGTCACGTTTATCAACATCAGATATATGATCTTCAGTGAAAAGATATTATCATATTAAACATGTTATATTTGAGATATTCATATAATAAGCATAGATTTATAATTTGATCCATGTATTCAAATATACTACACACCAGATTTAATTTGGCATTCAATGTCCAAGTTATACTAATCCTTTGAGAATACAATCAGAATATTTCAAACTTTAAGGACCAAATTGAAATTAAAATCATGATTTGAGGACTTTTCATCAAATTAGCCCAAATTATCAATTTCAACATTTCTTACTCTGTCCCCCACGAAAAAACCTTATGTAGAAACGGTAAACGCCCACCATTTCAAACGTTTACGTATCTCTCATTATTTTTTTTCAACATTTTATTTTATTTTGTTTTTCAGCAACGGCAGTGCCGGGCCCCGGCAGCCTTTCAATTTTCACCTCACAAAATCCACCGAGCTGGCCCGCACCACGTGTTTTCTTCTTAACATGCTCCACCAAAACGCACCCCCTCTCTTATAATTCTGCGCTCCTCCGATGGTGCGCATGGAGATACCCAGTTCCCGCGACTTGCTTCCCTCTCCCACCACCACCGCTTCCGGATCCACCATGCCACCTCGGCCTGTTAAAATCATCCCTCTCCAGCACCCCGACACGACGTCGTACGGCAGCCCAGGTGGATTCGGCAATTCTTCTTCTTATTCGTCTTCGTTTTGGTCTGACTCCCTGTTTTCTGGAGTCCGGGGGAAGATCAAACGGATGACGCTTATCGATTGGATCGAGATGTTCCTTCCTTGTTGCCGTTGGATTCGGACGTACAGATGGCGGGAGTATTTCCAGGTTGATCTCATGGCCGGTACCACCGTTGGTATCATGCTTGTTCCGCAGGTGATTCCTTCTCTCTCGCGAAATTGAAAAAAAAGGACGGATTAAACAACGTTTTAATTTTTTTATTTGTTTGGTTACTGCGAAAATGAAATGGAAAATGCAGGAAAAACAAGAAAAACGGAATTTTCGCCTTTAATATAGCGTGCTTTTTTTCCGCTTCTGTCAACGTAGCCAACTATAACGAACTTCTCTTTTGATTTTTTTTCCGGTTAACGAACTTTGATTTTATTGGGGGGAAGCAAAACCTTACATTACCCCCATCGTTGTTATTATCATAATTATTTTTAGTATTATTTGAAGCTAAACGGAGGTTTAAATTCTGCTTGTTTGCTGAGAAAATAAGTATTAATTCTATGTAATATTGTATATATATTGAATTTGGATAGTTTTCTTCAAAAAAATTACAGAGAAGCGTTAGGCTTTTCGTAATTAAATTCAATTAAACGGCGCTTGAGCGATCTTTAATTCTTTGTGGAGTTCTATTTTATTTGATCTTTTGTTTTCCCTTATTTTCTTGGCATCCAAACATAGCTTTCAGGTTTGAGTTTGCCGTTCGGTTTCCGTCATTTTAGGCCACAGAAATAACTTTTTCTCCGTTTATAATTGCGTAAAATTTTATTTCAACTATGCTTATCTCAATCGCATATGGTTCTTAGATTTGATCCCATCGTTAAACAAGAGCACATCACACATTTCCAGTTTCTGATTGGTTCAATAAACTGATTGGCTCTTTGGAGATATTTACCGTCACAGATTTTATGTTGCTGATTGGTTCATTGGATATAATTTGATATATAAATAAGTTTGAATTCGATGTTATTGCCAGATTACATGACAGTGTAAAGTAGAAATAAGTTTACTTCAGTCACTGTTTTGGTTTTTTCTTTAAATTACCAAAGTAGCCAAAGCAAAAGGATCAGATTCCGCTATAGGTGGATTTGTCTGTTCTCTTTCTTTTGGTTAGTGCCTGGAATTGACATGATACCTTCTTTTGTGGAACAAAAGATGGCCTTTTTTTTAACTCCTCTTTATGAATTCCTGGACTCATATATTCTACTATATGTGAAGATTATCAAGTGGTATATGGATTATGACATGGGGTTTTTGATAGTCTATTGATTTTTTCAACAGGCTATGTCATATGCAAAATTAGCTGGGCTTGACCCAATATATGGCCTCTGTAAGTTTCTACCAAATCAAATTATTCTGTATACTGTTTATGCACAAGAAGTTTGTCATGAAATAATGGAATGGTTTTACAACTCAAATTCACACATTGTTGCGTATATTTGTTGGTAAAAGGGCACAAAATGTGGACTAAGAATTCAGCACTTGACCTCACTCATTTTTTTTATATGATATCATGTCAAAAACACATGGTATTCAAACAAAGAGATGCATTCTCAATATATTATGATATTGGAAACTTCATTGTTGCTGTTGTTGAGAATATACCTTTGTTTGGGAAGTATTTCTGTTTTATGACAGACTATTGTCTTCTTAAACATTGCCACGTAGAACACAATCCATTTATTTTCAATCTTGCTCACTTTGACTATGTGGTTTTTGTGATGCAGACTCTGGCTTTGTGCCAATATTTATCTATGCCATATTTGGATCATCTCGGCAGCTGGCAATTGGTCCAGTTGCATTGGTCTCCCTTCTGGTCTCCAACGTGTTAAGTAAAATTACTGATTCATCAGATGCATTATACACAGAACTTGCTATATTGTTAGCACTGATGGTTGGTATCCTGGAATGCATAATGGGGCTATTGAGGTAGAGCTCATCTCTTCTGTTATCCAAATTTTGCTTTTGCTTTAACTTGTGCCAATAAGTTATTTGTGTATCATGCAATTACTCGCGTTCTTTCCAGCTATCTTAGATAATTTTTCAAAAAACTATCTCCAAATTAGATTCATAAGCAAATCAAGTGAAGTGGGTATTAAGTTTGTTCTTATATGGACATGATTAAGATGAATTACCATGTTTTAGTGAAGTATTTCACTTTGAGTTTACCCTTTTTTCTAATAAGGTGGCAACTAGGGAAGTGGGCTTTCACATTTTGTGACAATCATACATTTTTCCTGTGACTTCAGTATGGTTATTCTGCATTAGAAAAGGAGAAATGGAGAACTATAATCTAGAACATCTTTCAGCATTATGTTACAATTCATCTCTCTTCCATTCCCCATGCCTATAAACTGAAAAGTTTTCATCTACTGTTCCCCACTTTTCCAGGCTTGGATGGCTCATTCGTTTCATTAGTCATTCTGTGATTTCTGGTTTCACTACGGTTTCAGCCATTGTAATTGCTTTATCACAAGCAAAATACTTTTTGGGGTATGAAATTGATCGAAGCAGCGAGATTGTGCCAATAATCAAGAGCATAATAGCTGGAGCTGATCAGGTATTCTTTACATTCCCAAGTGGTATTTAATTTACAGTACCATATGTTTACATTGATGCATTGATTAAAGAAGGCATTATACTCATCACTGACATATACGGTCATCTACACTTCTTAAATACATTATTGAAAAATTCATTCTAAACATCAATAGTTGCCACACATTCTCACCATTTAATAAAATTTTGCCTACATCTTGCAACGGAAAGAGTATTGAACTCTTTTCACCATTTTGTCCAACCATGCATGACATTATCATAAAACCTTTTTCTTTGATAGTTCACTAACTATAGCAATGAATTTAATTGCAAAGGGTTTTGGATTTGGCCTTGCTTTTTTGGTGAATTTTCTGTTAATTGCGCTCTGCTCTTTTTATTTGGTCACATTGTTCATTGAAAATTGTAATTGGGGAGACAACCACATATTTTCCTTAAACTTTGGTTAGTGTGTTGTGAATTCTGCTACAACTCATTCATTGCTTTGTTTAACCTCAGGTGATGTTTTCATTTTGTAGTTCTCATGGCCTCCTTTTGTAATGGGATCTGTGATTCTCGCTATAATTCAGACCATGAAGTTTCTGGTACCAGAGCTCTTTGCTTCTCTCTTTCTATCTCCTTTCCCACACCCAACCCAATATTCCCTTCTATCTTTCTCTTTTTTTTTTTGGAAGGAAATCTTCCATCTCTCTCTTAAAAATGTGTTCTCTTTTCATTATAAATTTGATGTCATTTGTAGGGAAAATCAAGGAAGCACCTGAATTTCTTGAAAGCAATGGGTCCCCTTACAGCAGTTGTTCTTGGCACAACTTTTGTGAAGATATACCATCCACCATCGATTACTTTGGTGAGAATGATGTAAAGTAAATTATATTATTGGGTATTAAATTAGGCAACATAATCACAAGAGTAGTATATCTTAGCTTAATTAGTTTAGACAAATGATAATTGGTGCTTATGTTTATATGAAAAGGCATTCTCATAGCAAAGCTGATCAAGAATGCTGTGATGTTGATTTAGGTAGGAGATATACCTCAGGGCATTCCCGGCTTTTCCATTCCTAAAAGTTTTCAATATGCGAAGTCTTTAATTCCAACTGCACTTCTCATTACTGGTGTAGCCATCTTGGTAAGGAATTATATGAATCATTCTGCTAATAAGAATGCAAGCCTTCAGCTAGAGTAGTCTTGTGAGTTTGTGACTGCTAATGGTAATATGTCATTTTCGAGTTTTAGGAATCTGTTGGGATTGCCAAAGCATTAGCAGCCAAAAATGGGTATGAGCTGGATTCAAATCAAGAGGTATATATTCAGAAAATGTAGCACTACTCCCTCTATACTTGATGGATGTATTATTGTCGGTGTATATGATGAATGATATACTGCTTATTTTAATGTTTGTGAGGACTGTAAGTTCAATGGGTTTCCCCAAAAGGGATATGATGTCTCAACTGCATAGCATAGTTTTAGTATTGTTTATACATGGGAAGCTAGTAGTAAAGTCGCGTGTTTGCCAAATTTTCTTCAAAGGCTGTAATAAAGTCATTCTTCTCTGTCAACAGTTGTTTGGTCTAGGTGTTGCCAATATCTTTGGGTCATTCTTTTCAGCATACCCCACAACAGGTGAGAGTTCTTCCTGTCCCTATGTACCAACATATTAAGTATTGATTAAGTGTTTAACTGCTTCTGATGCTACTACTTTATTCTATTCTGAAGAAGAAAAAAAATTCTGAAACTATTGTTGCAAACTCAAGTTAATTGATATTTTTGTTGTACACGCCTCGCTTATGAGGTCAAATCAATATGTCCTAAGAAGAAATATTTGAATACCGACCTCATCGATCTCATATTATGTAGGTTCCTTCTCCCGGTCAGCAGTGAATCATGAGAGTGGGGCAAAAACCGGCTTATCCGGAATTATAGCAGGAATCATAATGTGTTGTGCTCTGATGTTCTTGACTCCATTATTTGAGTACATACCACAGGCAAGTTCAAAAGTTGTTTGATTTATTTATTGGAATTGTTACCATTTATGCTTGCATCTGCCATTATGCCTTTTTTTCCTCACCTCATGAATTCGGTAGTTTATGACGTGGGGTCCATGGACTCAAATGTTTTTTGTACATTCTGTTTCATTTCAGTATCTGGAGAGACTTATTATGAATTCTAACTATGGGTATGTGCACTTAATCGTCTTTGCAGTGTGTTCTGGCTGCTATAGTAATCTCTGCTGTTATAAGCCTGGTAAGTACAGACACAAGCCTGTGTTGGAACATTTTCCAAACTAGTTTATGCCGCATGTTATGCTTTAACGAATTTTGGACCGTACAATATTCTATTTGCAACATGTATTAAATCAACCAGAGGAAAGAGTAATTGGTATCCTGTAAAGTTATTGATCACTTAATCGTATCTTTGGAAATTCGTTTTTGCATGTTAATAACTTTAGGTGGATTATGAAGAGGCAATTTTCTTATGGCGCGTAGATAAGAAAGATTTTCTTCTTTGGACCATTACAGCTGCTACAACATTGTTTCTGGGAATTGAGATAGGTGTCCTTGTTGGGGTAAGTACTTTAAACTATCTGTGCATTACATATGTTGATTTTCTTTATGCCAGTCAACATTACTTTTTTCAGTATTTTACATTTTCATTCTAAGATGCTATTGTCCTCTTTTTCCCTATCTTAGTCCCATATCAGAGATAATGTTAATTGTATTTCTGCATTTCAGGTAGGTGTTTCACTTGCCTTCGTCATTCACGAATCAGCAAATCCTCATATCGGTGAGTGGATATGTCTCCTTCACCATGCCTATAATAAATCATGTGTTGCCTTAACATTATCTGTCAGGACCATATATATCATATAATCGGTTGTAAAATTCTAATTCTTCATCGCTTTTCGCCACTTGTCTACTGGCGTTGCAGCTGTCTTGGGGCGTCTTCCTGGCACCACTGTTTATAGGAACATTGAACAGTATCCGGAAGCATACACTTACAATGGAATCGTGATCGTTCGTATCGACGCCCCCATATATTTTGCGAACATAAGTTATATCAAAGACAGGTGAAGATTCACGCATTCCTCATCACATAAAACTGGCTGCCTTTGGTACCTTGCATCAATGAATTTCCTTTTCCATATTTCTTACTGGAATATACTTCTAATTTCTGAATTTGAGAATGTAAATTCAAAAAATGTTGACCCCCCTTCCAGATTACGAGAATACGAAGTTGTGATTGATAAATCAGCGAGACGTGGACCAGAAGTTGAAAGAATTTATTATGTGATTTTGGAGATGGCACGTAAGTTCTTCATACCATGAAAAATACTCATCATAAGATGATTGCATTGACAAATATCAGAACAACTAGCTATACCGGGGTTATTCGAGTGTCCAATGATTTTGGTGGTAGTTCAGTTTATTATAATGATTCAGATGTTCCTTTGATTTGACTGCAGCTGTTACATACATAGACTCGAGTGCTGTCCAAGCTCTGAAAGACTTGCACCAAGAATACAAATCACGGGAAATCCAGGTTGAGTACTTTTATCGATTAAACCCCGTACATATTTTAACAGATCATGATCCTTAAGTCAATGTTTCAAGATTCGAACCTCTTGCAGATAGCCATATCCAACCCGAACCGGGAGGTCCTTTTGACCTTATCAAAATCCGGTGTCGTAGAGTTGATTGGTAAGGAATGGTACTTCGTGAGAGTGCATGATGCAGTCCAAGTTTGCCTCCAGCGTGTTCAGAGCATAACAGAATCTCCAAAAGCATCAGATACATCACATGATGGAAAACCGAGTTTCTTCCAGAGATTGCTGAAACAGAGAGTGGAAGATTTATCAGTTTCCGAGCTAGAATCTGGTAATAAGACTAGCGAGCCTTCGGATTCAACGCACATAGACCCTCAATTGGAGCCCTTGTTGAGCCGAAGGTCTTGAAACTTGCTTCATCTGAAGCAAAGTCCCAATAATGCCATTCTTTTAACAAGACATTTCCGATACCGATTATTGTTCAATTCTTCACAATGTAGTTTTAGTACCTAGAACTTCCGCTGTTGTATTGTTATTGCTTTGTAACATGATTGTATTTGGGTTTGTAACTTATTGTTTATCAGCTCTGTAAAGCAAACTTCTATGCAAACTTGATTCAATCAAATGACTATGATTTAAATCTGGTTTTAAATCCTAGCAATGCATTAATCTTTTCTTTGGGTCAGGTCTCTTCGGCCTCTAAAGGAATCAGTTCAATCATTAGGAATTGTTGATGGGACCAAATGGGTTAGGGTGGCTATTGGCAGTTCATTCTCCTGATTTATGTGGAGAACCTAGTCATTGGTCGGTGGAAAAGTGCTCTATCTCTATAAGGGTGAGGCGATTTTATTGAGGTCGCACCTCATCTTTAGGTTATACTCAGGTTTTATAGTGGTCTTGAGTGCGTGTTAACCGTAGGATTATAATGACTACTTATAGGTTGGTAGGTTAAGTGGATATGGTCAAGTGACAATAAATTGGCTATGGTAGTTCACGTGAGCATATCGAAAGCCATATCAACTAATCACATCTCAAATGATGTTATATATTCGATGTTTCTCTTTCGAACTCTAAATTTTCCGAAGTTCTCTTAGTGTCGAAAATTATATATTTTGCTTTCTATAATTATATGTGCGGAGGTTCCTTAACAGGTACAACATGTATGCATTCTGTAATTATATATTTTGCAGATCATGGAGTTAAAATTAGTATTCCTGCGTTAAAAGAGAAGGCCAAAAGAAGGAAACAGTTCTTAAAAGTGCAGAGTACATTTAGTTGGCTAGTTTGTATCCCACATCGGCGAAGAATGGGAAAGCCAGACGATGTTGTCCCTATAAATAAAAGTTGGGTTGCCACTTGAGAACTTGCCTTAAACTAATGAGTAAGGAAAACAAAGCGAGCGGTGGGAGCTGCTCGCCGCGCCCGAACCTTTAAGGTGCGCAAGAATTTGTGGAGGGGTTATAGGCTGGCTGAGTGTTGACGCTGCGCTTACTTTGTGCAGAACTCACTCGTGCGGGCCTCCCACTATCGAACCCCCCAATCTAGGCTAAACATTCTTTTGTAATTAAAATATGAAATTATTTTGAAATTATACAAGTAATTTAGATGGTAATATTTAGTTTCATAAATAATTTCGGTTGCTTTATTTAATTTGTCCTCGATTTCTTTATTTAAGATTAATTTCCAGTTCGTCGTAATTTAATTGAAATTTGTTTCTCATTCTTTTTATTTTTATTTTTATTTAGTGATTGATTTATTTGTACCTCTCGATTTGATTTTAGATTAAAACTCTTGATTAAGACTCCTAATTAAGTTTCAGTTTGTGACCAAAATTCCTAATCTAATTTAGTGTCTCATTATAAATTTAGAATAAAATATATAAAATTTATTATTTAAATATATCAATAGGGTTAACTACGATAATTTGTATTTTATCTATTTTTTATCATTGATTTTAAAAATATAAGATAAAATCATTTTTATTTTTATTTAATTAAGATATGAACTTTCGTTTTTATTTGATTAAAGATGTGGTCACGAGTTAACTATCTTAACATTAATTAAATATTTGGATAAAATCATGCATTTAATCTCTGTTGTTTACATATTATCTCAATTTAATTATATTTTTAATAAATTAAAATAAATTATATGTTTTTAAATGAAAAAAAAATATATTTTTAAATTAAGTTAATAATAAAATATATTTAATAAGTTAATATAAAAATATTTTTAAGTTAATATTATATAAATTTATATCATATATAATTCGGGTCACAAATACTTGGTTCATAATTTTTTTAATTTTTTTTTTAAATTATATTATTTTTAAAAATTATATAAAAAATTATAAAATTTAAAATTTAAAAGTCTATAATATATATAATCTACACAAATTTAAAAATTCAAATTACATAATTGAAATAAAATTTATTAAAAATTAAAATAAAAAAATATAATTAAATTTCAAATGTTTTGAAGTTAAAATAAATACTTTAAAAAATAATTTGGAACATTAATGGAAATAATTTAAGAAATTAATAATTTAGAACGTTATATTGTCAAAATTTAATAAATTGTGAATTTTAGAATGTTATAGTGAAACAATTTGAGAATTATGAATAAAAAATTTAATATAAAATAAAATTAAAAAAATAATAAATCAATTACTGGGTTGGTAGATACTCAGTTAATCAACATTTTGTGACCAAGGTTTGACCTAGAAACTCGTAAAAAATAACGGGTCGGGTAATTTTATTATATATACCCGATATTTTTAACTGGGTCAACTGATCAAATCAATCGATACGTGACATGACATGTGACATCATTCGATTAGAGTATTAAATTTATTTTAATTTATTAAAAATATGATTGGGAGAATATTTAAATAACAAATATCAAATGTGTGATTATATAAAAATATTTAACTGTTGTTAACATTAATTAAGGTAACCACATCTTAATTAAATAAAAACTAAAATGACATCTTATATTTTTTTAAATCAATGACTAAAAGTTGACAAAACACAAACATAAGTGACAATCCATGTAGTTAACCCATAATAAAGATTTAAAAATATATATGAACACATTTTATAAAAGTGTAATTAATAAAAATATGTGAAAATATTCAAATTTAAGATCAATTTTTTTATTATATAATATTTTAATTAAAAGAAAATAAAACGATAATAAAAAAACTAGCACAACAGACCTGAAATCGATTTTATATAATTTATATAAAAGCTCTAAAAATTTTATTTTTAACCATCCGTCATTAATCGTAATCAATGGCTTTTGGCCTAAATAAAAATTAATAAATCTGTACACCACCACCACCTAATCGTCAACTAAATTTAATACCACCAATTAATGAAATAAACATGGGTCAAAAATGTCGATCATAAAGGAATTTACTGATTTATTATATTCTAATGATAAAATACCATTTGGCATTAGACCCCACCAAATTAACCGATTAATAATAGCATGAACAATGTGTTGAAATTTCAACAAATTATTCGGTGCATTAATACACCGAATGTGCAAGTGCAAGTGGAATTGTGGAGTCAATAAAATAGCTGCAAATTGTTAAAATAATAAAGGCATAACTACCAAATTGAGTCCCTAAACTTTAAGATATTTACAAGATTAATCCTCAAGTTTCAACTATAAATACCCTAGCTCATTTAGCTTCAAACCCATCCCAAAACATTCTAGCTTTCTTCTAATACTAGAGAATTTAGAGAGTTTCTTGAAAGTTGTTTTCTCCTTTTTAACAAAAGAGAATTATCATTGTTTTCTCCTTGGTAGATCGAGAGAAGTTGTAATTCGTATTTTCTCATAGTAAAATTCTTCTACCGTTGCCTGTGATTTTTACCCTATATTATTTAGAGTTTTTTCACGTAAATTTTGTATCTCTTTTATCTTCATTTTTATTTTCTCAAAGAGAAAATAACTTCAGTGACCAAAAATCCCAGATAATATACGATTTTGACCAACTTTTTTTGGATTTGCGAAAATGACCAACAAAATCGCAATGCGATCTCTAATTCGCATTGCGATCTCCACTATCGTAAATTCGCGTTGCATTTCGCGTTGCGATAGTTGAAAATCGCGTTGCGATTTTCCATTTCGCGTTGCGATAGTTGAAAATCGCGTTGCGATAGTTGAAAATCGCGTTGCGATTTTCCATTTCGCGTTGCGATAGTTGAAAATCGCGTTGCGATAGTTGAAAATCGCGTTGTGATTTTCCATTTCGCGTTGCGATTTTTCATTTCGCGTTGCGATAGTCTACAGTTGTCGTTGCGATTTTCCAAATTCGTTGCGATAGTTAAAAAAAAGATTTTGTTTCTTAAGAATTTTCTCTAAAAAGATAGTATCCGCGCGGACGTGTCGAAGACACGTATTACCACGACCACGACCACGACCCGACCCGAGACGAGACTACGGCGGCGGCACGCGAGAGTCCCCCTTGTTCTCTATCACTCAACAAGGAAGTGGGAAAGCCAAGCCTTAAATAACATTCCCAATAGTGTTTCCAATACTATGTGGAATTTGAGCATTACCAACACTTGTTCCGAATACTATGTGGGATTGAACCTTAAATAATGATATTATTTTTAAATGTTTTGCTTAAAATTGCAATAATCGCGATTGATTGTAGATTGACTTTTAATTATGACATATTTAATCGTATAATACTAATACAATTGGTTGCTAATTCAGTTGTTTTAAGGTGCATGATTGTTAATTGTTTCCTGAATAATCACATTGTATTGGAAACAAGTGTTGGTAATGCTCAATCCCACATTGTATTGGAAACACTATTGGGAATGGTATTTAAGGCTTGGCTTTCCCACTTCCTTGTTGAGTGATAGAGAACAAGAGGAACTCTCGCGCACCGCCGCCGCCGCCGTTTCGTCTCGGGTCGGGTCGGGTCGTGGTCGTGGTCGTGGTCGTGGTAATACGTGTCTTCGACACGTCCGCGCGGATACTATCTTTTTAGAGAAAATTCTTAAGAAACAAAATCTTTTTTTTCAACGAATTTGGAAAATCGCAACGACAACTGCAGACTATCGCAACGCGAATTTCAACTATCGCAACGCGAAATGGAAAATCGCAACGCGAATTTCAACTATCGCAACGCGAAATGGAAAATCGCAACGCGAAATGGAAAATCGTAACGCGAAATGGAAAAACGCAACGCGATTTTCAACTATCGCAATGCAAAATGCAACGTGAATTTGCGATAGTGAAGATCGCAATGCGAATTAGAGATCGCATTGCGATTTTGTTGGTCATTTTCGTAAATCTAAAAAAAATTGGTCAAAATCGTATATTATCTAGGATTTTTTGTCACTGAGGTTATTTTCTCTTTCTCAAATTATCAGTTGCGATTTTGCTCTATCCGATAACCGTCTTCCTCAACAATTGGTATCAGAGCTAGATTAAAGTGTGTAATATCTTCTTATTGTCTTTGTGGTTGCCACCAAAAGGTGGATCCTCCAACATAAGAAAATAAAAATATTTTACCCATTCTTTGAAGGTTCAAGAGAACTATTCACGATAGTAAAATAGTAGGAGCTATCCGTAAAAGAATCTATGGCAACGAAATTTGATATTGAAAAATTCAATGG